TAAACAACTGGCCAGAGAGAGATAAGGCAGCCATCTAGTAGTACCCGCCGCCAAAATGGTTTTGTCCACCTCTTCCAACTGAATGACGAAATTGTCCGACACTTTCATATTGCAGTTACAAGTGAAGTGCGGAGCGTGTTCAGCGTCATCACGTTTCGAACCCCAAACCCTTCGATTCACAACCTTACAAGCTAACCATTAGGCTATGCTCCCCCCCTCCCCTTTCTCGCTAAGGTGCTAATCTATGATACCTATCACGGGATGGATGTACGATTGTGTTTAATTCAATGATTTATTGTTTTGAATTTCTCACGAAGCTACACGAGGGCTATCTGCGCTAGCCGTCCCTAATTTAGCAGTGAAAGACTGGGGGGAAGGCAGCTAGATATCACCACCCACTGACAAACACTTGGGCTACTCTTTTATCAACGAATAGTTGGATTGACCGGCACATTATAACACCGTCACGGCTAAAAAGGCGAGCGTGCTTGGTGAGACGGGGATTCGAATCCGCGACCCTCAGATTGCGAGTCGAGCGCTCTAACCACCTGGCCATGCCGGCCGTTTACTCCAATGTACTGAGGGAAAACTGTAGGATGGCAAGAGGCAATAGAAATGAAGTGTTAACAACTACTTTGTTTTCTTTATAAACGATCCACCTGTATATAACAAACAATAATTTAAAACAGATGTTTAATTTAAATATATGTAACCCCTGACAGCTTTTTCTACTAAGAAATAAACGAATTTACTGTATTAGTTTTCTGGACTATTTAATTATGTTACTGTCCAAAGAAAAGCTCCTTCATTTTGTAACTTAAAAAAATCTATCAAAGACAGTGAGTAAAATAAGAATAAGAAAAATATATTTGTGAAAATCCGTCGCTTGTGGGCTGGGTAAAAAAAAAGCATATGACGTCTAACTAGCCTATAAAAGCTGAAGAACTTCGTGTAGGAACACCCGCTCATTTCAAGCTTCTTATCTGCTAAAACTTCAAAATGAAACTTATTTTTTTGTTAAGATATTATTAATTAATCTGTCTCCCTGTGGGACAGCGGTAAGTCTGCAAACTAAAATCCGGTACTCCAATGTTGCTTTGCTCTTAATTTTGTTTGTTTGTTTAAAGTTAAGCCCAAAGCTACACAATTGGCTATTTGTGCTCTGCCCACCATGGGTATCGAAACCTTGTTTCTAGCGTTGTAAGTCCGCAGAAATACCGCTGTGCCAGTGGTGGGCGCTTTGCTCTTAAACAAACTAACTAAATAATATTACTTGATATTTGTTAGTACTTAAAAATAGCTTTCTGATATATATATATATATATACCACTCCAGTCCAGTACCGGTTTCAAATCGCCGAGTTATAAACTCCAGTCCAGTACCAGTTTCAAAACGGATCATGGACCCATATCCCCCACCACCCCATTGCAGTACTTGACTCAAACTCTTGTGTTATAGACCCCACCCACCGTCCTTAGAACGGATATAATTTGTAATGCAAAACTTTAACATGTCAAAACTCACAACTTTATAAGTTCAGTAACGGATTATTTATGATATAATGTTGAAAACGTCTTTTTACTTCAGAATTTATTCATAGTTGATAAGAATGGCTTTTCCTAAATGTTTAAATTCATTGGGCCAAGCCCTATTCATTCCGCTATACTATATTTCTAAACGTTCTCTTTCTGCCACAAGACTTTCGTATCTTTACTTATAGCTTGATTAGTGCAATTGTAGCCTAGGGTTGGCCGCTCACGAAATCTTCCATTTTCTAAATCTTAAAATAAATCAGTAAAGTGTTTGTGATATTTAGATTATCAGTACGAGGGGGGAATGGAGAAATCCCCCGTACATCCCCTGAATTCAACACTGAAGGACATGTTCGGTTAATAAGTATACGAATAGCGGTGACTGACATTCTATACTTAGTATTATTAATGAAGTTTCCGCACGCAACAAAATTTTTGTTGGTACTTGTTACTAATAGCTAATATTTAGATATCTTATTTTTAATTTATTTGGTTATAATCGTTGTAGAAGACAGTTCTTAATCACAAATAAAATTCGGTATTTTAAAACCAAACGGAGCATTAAGATGAACGTCATCTTTTCATCAACGAAGTTTTTATTTTTGTTTTGGTGGATTACGTTAACGCGCAAATGCAAGCTTTTTAATTAAAAGGTTGCGTTATATAGCGTACAAACATCTAAGTATGTTGGTTGGATGAAACAGGTTGTTGTGTATTTCAGTAAGTTTTTGATGTTGTTGTTTTGTTTTTTTCTATTTTCATGCAGTTAAATCCGAGACTGCGAGGATGAAGTTTCAGAGGGTGCGAAAAATTAGGATAAAAGACTACCGTGAGACACACAATTTTTTTCCGCTGACTCCGTCTTTATAAATCCGAAGAATTGTTATCCAGTAGTTCCCTCTATTACCTGAAGTCTCTAGACCCACTGTTACGTAACGCTTTACAGTTGACGCGATTGGGGTATTTTATTAGCTAACATTAAAAAGATTTTCTGAAAGAAAATTTAATAACTTCTGGGAACATTTAGTAATGGAGTTAACAAACGTGTTACTAGAAATTACGCTGTTACAAGCCACACACATTTTACAGTCACCGTTAAACAACAACGTGAATCCAGTTATATATTTGTAGGGTTTCCATAGTGACTTAACTAGTGTTAACATTATACATGCTAATTATGGTGAGAAAACTGGGCAACGAAGCAATTTACATAGGTTTTTTTTTTCATTTGTAGAAAGTAATGTTGCCCAAACCCTTTCCCTGACTCCTTAACTCCACCTATTATAATAATTTAGATGTTTTATAGATATATTAACTCCACCTATCATAATAATTTGGATGTTTTATAGATATATTAACTCCACCTATCATAATAATTTAGATGTTTTATAGATAAATTAACTCCACCTATCATAATAATTTAGATGTTTTATAGATATGTTAACTCCACCTATCATAATAATTTAGATGTTTTATAGATATAACTCCACCTATCATAATAACGTATATTTTATAGATATATAATATATAACTTATTATGATAGGTGGAGTTAATATATTTAGATGTTTTATAGATGTGCGTTTTTGCACATAGCTACACAATAGGATATCTGCGTTCTATCGACCGCGGGGAATCGAACCTCGAGTTTTTGTGTCTAAAGTCCGAAAGCTTACATCTGTCACACCAGGGGACTAACATATATATTTTAAATATTAAATTCAAATTTATTTTAAATTGTATATAAAAACAAGGATTTAGGATTTCACAATGGTGTAAACTAGCACACGTCAGTAGAAATGTTTATTAACTAGATGGCCCTGTTATATGTCTGTTTCCTTTGGAGCAAAGCTACATTTGTCTATCTGCTATGTTCACCACGGAGAATCGAACCCCGCAGTTTAGCATTGTAAGTCTGTAAAATTACTGCTGTCCCACAGGGGGACGCCATTATATGAGTAAATCATTTGATAATATTTATTTGTTACAGATAGGGACGAATGAAACAATTTTTTTTTACAATAATGACATTTTGTCAGTTTTATTTTGAAAATAGGCATATATATATATGTGTGTGTGTGTGTGTGTGTATATATAAATTAAACATTCGGTTCAGTATCAATCTTTCACCAAAAAAAAAACATATATGTGTATTTAAAAGATATATGAAATGCACACGTGTTTATTGTAATTGATAAAATTTACAGATATTTCGTTGAAGTA